CTCCTCAGCCTCCCCCACCCCCTCCAGCGCCGGGTGGTGGGGGCGCCAAGGGGTTGGCGCGACGTGGAGGGGGGCAAGGTCGAGGCTGCCCGTCTGTCCGCGCTGCCGACCCCCTCCACCACCACCCCTCCTTCCTCAACCACCCTCCTCCCCTAACCTTCTCTACCTCCCGCCCCTCACTTTATGCCTAACGTGCCGATTGCTTGGCAGAGGACTTAACGTTTGAATTTTTATATGCGCAGAGAATTCTTTACACCGTTCCAAAAGGTCAGAATCGCAGAATCGCATTTCTATTATCGCGGAGCGATGAAACCAATCACCAATCAGTTATTTAGAAAATTTGCCAAACCATTTGCCATAATTTTTTGTAGTTTTTATTTTTTTGAGCCGTCTACCCTGTCTACTTCTGGCCGCTGGAAACGCCGATTTGCACTCATTGCAGTGGCAATAAATAATTTATGATCACTAAAATATACGGTCAATAAATAATTAACACCCTGTCTAAAAGGGGTGTGGTCCCGAAAAGGGAAGGTGCTTTCATTTTTAGTGCCTCGCTCGCTTCGGTGCCGCCGCCCCCTGCCCCGCTTTGATCACTTTTCTCAATGACTCTCTCAAAATCATTTTTAAGATCCACTGCCCTCTCGGCCCACCAGAGATCTTGCAAAAAAAAAAAAAAAAAAATGTTTTTCTTTTTGTTCAGGGCCGTTCGAAAACCATGTGGACAGTGGTGGAGGTATCCAAATATTATGGGGTCCAAAAAGGATCAGGACAATCATTGGAGTCCAAAGAAGAGCCAAAGATGATTTTACCGCGGGCTACAAATATCATGGGGTCTCCTTGGAAACCAATGACTGTCCTGATTCTTTTAGGAACTGGACAGTCATTTGAGTCCAAAGACGACCCCATGATATTTTTACCCCGGTGTACAAATATTATGGGGTCTCCTTGAACTCCAATGACCGTCCTGATTCTTTTAGGAACCTATAATATTTTGACCTCCCCCCCCCCCCCACCTCTTTGGCCGGCAGCGCTGGTGCCGGCGCCCATCATATCACTTTGCCGCACAATAACTCATCCTGCCGCCGCCTATTAATGGAGAGAGGAATGCGCGGCTCGGATCAGATCGGATCGGAGCGTGCTGCTACGATGCGGACGCTGCACTCAACGCGTAATTCCATTTGTTTTGGCTTTCACATGCAGCTTTAACGGCGCTCTACTTCATAGAGTTTTATCGCGCCGAGATTTCACAAAACGCAATCACTTTGGAAGTAAAAACAACTGGATTAATGGAGAACTTCACAAAAAATAT